ATGTTATGTTTGAACAATTTAATCACACACAAGCAAAACACATAAGACCTTAGGTTTAAGCTTGCATGGGATTCATAGGCAAGTACCCTCTTGAATTTTAGTTGGTTCAACCTGTCTTAGAAAAGTAACCGGGTTCTAAGGAGTCTCATATCATTGATCTTTCTTTTAGGCTTTGTTTTAGCTCAAGCACCGAAGTATTGCAGCCAAAATATCCCAAAAGTCCAATCTCAATGAGTGTAGTATCGAGTATCAACCAATATTTGGTCGGAACCAAATCCGACCATCTCACTACTTTCTAATGGCTTAGGATGAGTCAATTAAAGGTTCTAAAGGTCGGTTAGCGCTTAATGACACTATAAGGAAGCCTAATGTTATCCTTGACTGACTCAAGGAACATTAGTACAAGCCAGAGTATCAAGCTAATATGGATATCACTTCATCTATATCATTCTACTCCGTACAGCCTCGATGATTTATTGCTACTTACCTAAAAAGGTGCTCCAAATCCGGGTGTAGGATCTTTTAGTAACAACCCAAACAAGCCCTCAAAAGTAAAGCATACAAAACATACAAGGTAAAGCAAATTTAGAATGATCTAACTCTAAGGTAACCCGATTTTTTATAAGTTCCCCAACAGAGTCTCCAGTTCTTTGATACGGTGGCAGAACTGACTGTTATACTGGTTTTTCATTTGTATTCGCAAATATTGCGGTAAGCAAGAGTCGCCACCAACTTTTCTTTTATCCAACAAAGGAAAGGGTGAAAAGAACAGAAAAAGACCTTTCAAGAGTTTTCTGAGTAAGGGGGTAGATTATGGAAAGGGAAGGTGTTAACACCCTTTCCATTCGTAGTTATCTACGGGCTCTTAGATGCTTAGCTCATTTTGAAATACCTTGTGCTTTGTGTGTTTTTGAAAAGTATTTTTTGAAAGCACCTTAATGCGGCGAACTTTGTAATGTTTCTCGGAATGGTAGAGAACGTATATAAAGTGTTTGAAAATGTTTTTGAAAGAAGTTTTATGTAAGTTTAAAAATTGTTTGAGCAAGCATCTAACAGCTATCTACTTTACTCAAAAGGTTGTTCTTTTCCTATTTTCCTTTAGACAGTGCTATCCTACTATTAGTGAGTAGGTAACCCTAGTCGTTGGATGTTTGAGGAACATTCGAAGGAACATCATATAGTCACAAATGCAATTGGGCAAGAAACCTTAGTAACTACCCTAGGGTTTTAAGATAATACCTAGGCAACATCGAGAGGGTCATTTTTGATCTTTTAAACCAGAGGGTAGCCACTAAAGTCTCTCATGTTTCGAGAGTTGTGACTATTTTCCAAAGGCAACCAAAGTAAGGATACTTTAGAGGTGTATATGTGAGAGTGTGTTGTATTCAGTTATTTTTGTCTTGTGTTAGGTTTGCTAGCGTTTGATTATTATGTTCTTGCCATACAATCCTATTAGTCATGCATCTAGACAGTTAATAGTTTGCGGGAATTTAAAGTGCGGAAGTGTAAATCCTAAACTATTACAAGGCTTCGGGGAGGGGGATTATTACAAGTCTAAAAATGGGGGAAGTAAAAGCAGTAAATGTGAAGTCCTAGTTTAATTCGATTACATCCCATAAGCAAGTACATTAATAGGAAAATAAAGTAGAAATATCAAATGCGCGCGAAATGAAAAAAAATGTCTAAACCCTAAAAAGGAAAATCTTTTTGTTTGTTTTTTGTTTTATGTAAGAAAATGTTTAATTGATAATTAATTAAATAATCTATATCTAAAGAAAAAATGTTAATTATTAAAGAAATTTGAAATTTAAAAATAAATTAATTCTAATTTTTTTGTATTTTTGTTATGAATAAAAGAAATTAAATGAATTAAATTCCAGGTCTATTTATTTTTAAACTAAATAAAAAGTTAAAGTTATTATTTAATTAATTTGCCAAGTTAATTTAATTAAAAAAGACTAACCTAATATTTTTATTATTTTTTTGATTTTAATGTTGTAATGAAATGAAATTGATTAAAAAAGAAATGTTAATTAAAACAAAATAAAGAAAATTGAAATTGGTCTGTAAACAAAATGAAATGAGGGGTGGCTTTAAAGAAGTATCAGGCCTATCAACAAGAGGGCCCAGGCGCTGCAAAAATAGTTAGAGGGGTGAGAATAAACAGAAACCCCAGGCCCAATGACAAGAGGGCCCAAACGCCTGTGGGATCTGCAAAACAAAGGTTAGAAAAAATAAAAATAGTTTCCTTCCTGGGTCGAACCCAGAACCTGGCAAAGGAGTGCTCTAAGAATGGTGTCCTGTTATTTTAGCACTGGTTGTCACATGAAACATGTTAAACCATTCACAATGATTATTAATAACACAAATATGGATACAATAGGTATTTACATGGCGTGAATATGCAATTTTGATTTCAAGAAACCTTACCAACCGGTGATACGTGGATCCAGTGATCTAGGATGTTGCAAGCCTTGGGAATGGACAGAATAAGTTCCTAGGAATCTCAGGAATACGACTGAGCAGTTGGTATGAATGGATGATGGCTGAAAAACTCAGTTTCAAATTTCACAACTTTTATGATTTTTTGCAATTTCATGGAGCTTTGGTAAGGCAATGTATTTTCGTCCCCTTTTGCTCATGCCTTGGTCTTGTATTTATAGAGAAAGAAGAGGGCTAGCAAAGATGGTAAGAATCCACCCATAATGGACATCTTTCAAACCAAAATCAAACACATTAAAAAAGTTCCAAAAATGCAAATTCTTTCCCATTTTGAGGTGCAATGCACCTGGCCTCCTTTGCACCAAATTTTGGGTCCAAAAACAATTCAAACCATCAACCCATATTTCCATAACCAATATTTACTATTTTATACAATTTTATTTAGTTTTTATTTGAATAAAACAAAATAAATATGGATAAAATAGGTAGAAATGGAAAGTCAATGTAGAAATGATTTTAGAGGTCTCTCATAAGGTTAGGAAGATGTTTGAAGTCCAAGAAGTTAGACCGTTGACCTAAAAGTTCAAGTTTGCCCAATGCACAATTCTTGAAATTTTCCAAATTTTCCCAACTTGGGCAAACGATAACTTGCTCAATGTTTATCCTATGATGATGATATTGACTTTTTGGAAAGTCCAAGATGTCTACTTCAATACCTATTTTGATCAATTTTGCATTTGAATACTTTATATTGATGTAAATGGTCTTGGAAAAAAGTGTCTTTTGTTGACTTTCTGAAAATGACCTGTAATGTGTGAGCTTGTATATTTCAAATGGTGCATTTCTTGAACTTGAGGATAAAAGAGAAGTTGTAGGGAATTGTATTGTCTTCAAAATAAGCTTTGGTTGGGGGAAAATGGATGAAGTATGTGAAAGTTATGCTTGGTCAAAATTCAGTTGACTTCTTCTATAGAAACCCTAATTTAGCAATACTTGACTTTTGATAAATTAAGAGCATTTTTTATCTCTGAAATCCTTCATTTCTCAACCATTTTGAGAAATGTAAAAACCAAACCTGTCTAATTTTTGACAAGGAATTCAACCATATAATTTTCAAAATCTATAAATCAAAGGTTAGGATGAATTTCTGTTGGTACCAAAAATATAACCTAACTGGTCAGAGCTTCAATTCTCAACACATGGATGACATAAATAAAACTAAGGACATATTTAGTTTCAGGGGCATGATATATACATTTTTTCTTTAGAATGTATATGCAAAGGATTATCGTATCAATATATCATAGTTTAGAAAACTTACGTTTTTAAGTGGAAACTCAGAACACGTAAGAATGCTTCCAAATACAATGTAATGATTGATTAAGTTTCCTTGGACCTCCCTGAAGCTATTCCAATTGATAGAATGCCTTTTAGCTTGCCCAACTGTTCTGACCAAGTCAAGCTGCAATGGTGGATTTTGAAAATGGTGGATGGTGATAGGGTGATTATAGAAGTGATTCAGGTGTTTGGACGAGTTCCATATGAGTTATAGAAGCTTTGTAAATGATTTAGAGTGAAAATGCACAAGTGGATTGAGTGTTTGGTGTCCAAGGTTAGAAGTTGCAACAATGGAGTTTTATATGTAGCTTCTGATCTTGAGAGATTTTTTGAGGTTGTCAATTCGTATGTTAGCTTGCAAATGCTATCTCTATATATAATCCAAAGGTTTCAGAAGATAAGAGGGCTTGGTTTACAAGTTTCCATGTTTTTTCCTTTGTTATAACTTGTGAGTTTTGAATACTGTCGTACCCCAAATTTATCCTACCTCGATGGTCCGTCTTTATCTGGATAGGGGGTGTATCCTAATCCAGGAGAGTGGGGCTTTCTGAATAAGAAAGACTCATGAATCTGTTCGCGATGCATGTTGGCTAATGGCCCTTGCAATTCGAAAAGTAATTATTCGAGCAACTATTAAGTTCTTAATTATTGAACATTTGTTATTAAGAAGAGAAATGGGAAGTTAAACAGTCGCTAAGTTAGTCCACTTGGCATTTGAGAGCAAAGTTATTAGGTTGATCTTAAGTAAGGGTGTTTTAAATCATTTTTATTATTTGATAAAGGATTTTGAAAAGGGTGTCATTAGCAAGACTCTTTGGTCTTATTATTAAAGATAAATGCATATCATAAAGAAAAATATAATTACTAACAAGTTCCATTTATTATTAAAGAAAATTGTTTATTGTTCTTAAGTAAATAAATAAACAATATATTTTCTTTTTAAGAAAAGACTAAAACGCTTTACTGTAACTTTGGGTTCTGAAATTTGTTTGCATTAAAAGATATTCAAGCCCATTAAGATTTTTAGGCCCATTAGATGTTACTATTTGTTACTGTTGTAATAAAAAGATAGGTAATAAACAAAAATATAAAACATGATTAGTATTACTGGCTGATAATTTTAAAAGAGAATTTGATTTTTATTAAGGATTCTTGTGTAGCAAAATTTTGTTTGGATCAAAAGAAATATATATAATGCAGAGGGTGAAAAGCCCAACTTATTAGAACATATTGGCTGTAATAAGGATGTTGACGGTTGGGCTAAGTAGGGTAGAATCAGCTGCTGGCCCAATTGTTTTTTTTTCTTCAGAAATGCAAATTGTTTGCTGTAAAGCAGGCCCAATAATCACAAAAAAAACACTACTGTTCCAATTACCCCTAAGTTAGCGCATGGGTCTTGTTTACTAACAATCACTGTAGAAATCTAAAGTCCAAACTGAATCCAAACTTGCACATTACAGAAGAATCAAATCACAAAATCTGGAAAAAGCGTTATACATAAAATCACATCTCATTACAATTAAATACATGTCTAAAGTTATACTACAAAGCAAATCACGTTTTTACAGTACATAAACTAAAAGGGAATCAAATATCAGGACACTAAAAAATCATGACAAAATCTTATTCTATAGTTACAGTATAAATCCAAATATTTAAATCAATCAAAATCCCTAATTCTTCTCTATTTCTAAAACCCTAAAAAACTAAGACTATATATACTAGCTAATAGAAATTGAGAAAAGGGGAGGCGGGGCGGAGAGTCTACAGAAAGAGGAGGGATTTTTGACAGTAATATATATATATATATATATATATATATATATATATATATATATATATATATATATATATATATATATATATATATATATATATATATATATATATATATATATATATATATATATATATATATACACAAAACCTTGAAGGGGGACGACGATTCTCTTGGCAGAAGAACAGAGCAAAGGCGGATTCCTGAGAGAAAATAGAAGGCGGATTTGTTTACGGGTTCAGAGACGAAATAGGAGAAGAAACTTTGAGACAGAGAGATCTTGAAGCAAATCCTTACCATTGAAAACCTGAAGGTGGATACGACTAGAGTTTCCAGATCGAAACCCTAATCGTACTTGAAACCTCCCACACTCCGCGAACTTGACGACAAGCCGCCGCTCATCCACGACAACTGCGACCATCGACCTCCGTCAAAATTCGATCGGGCAACCACCAGATCCGCAGTGCCATCCTGGCCGTTTATGCTCGCAACCGACTCGACCGCGTTGTCATCATCATCGCTACCCATCGCAGGATATCGCCGGTGAATCACTGACGAAGAAATCTGCCGCAGTTGACCTCCAAACTAGGTTCTCCATCCCTTTTATTTTATGTCTGATGGGTTTCGGTTGGTATTAAAGGAAGAAGAAAGATAGATCTTGGAGAGAGACAAAATACTAGAAATAGTGGGAATATAGATGGTTCTCGTATGTCCCTTTGGGGTTATGCTTTATTTTTATTTTTATTATGAGACACGTGTCGATGTGTAAGTAGACCAAACGAAATTAGGAGAATAACGAAAAGAAGAAGCAAATTCTCTGGTCAAGAATGGGAGGCGCCCCTGGTACTATGTATATACATTTTTATTATTATTTAATTTTAATTAATCAATTTAGTAATCATGGTTTTAGAGTTTGTATGGACCATTGGGCCTTGTATTACTAATTCTTCAGCACATCTCTAGTATTATCACCCCCTGTTTTTACTCATCAACTAATAGTACACCCCCTAGTAATTATTAATATTTTACATTTTTATAATTATTTTAATTATATTTTCTTATTATTGTTATATGATATTTTTATAATAATTATAATTATAATTATTATTATTAATTTTTATATGTAAATATTATTATTATTTATATATTAACATATAAATATTTTTTATTGAAACGCATGGACATGTTATTTTCACGTATATTGCATTAAATCTTCTTTATCATGCATTAATCAAGATTTTCGCAATTAATACTATTAAAAAACACAAACAAATCTCAAACTATTTTCGTGAATAAAACTTAGCTAATCAACAGTTCTTTTTTGCAAAATGAGTTTCAAACTAATTTTGGCTTACTGCGTACTCAGTCAAAATCTCTGCAATCACTACTCTTGACCGAGTACGAAGTGATTCATAATATGTTTGCAAACCCCCTAAAAGACACCAACCCATACGAACTACGAATTGGGACTCTGATTCCTCATAAGAGGATACGTAGGCATACGATCAAAAATCGTAGCGAGTTCCCCTATTAAAAATTAAATCTCTTTCCCCTATTAAAAATTAAAACTCTTTCCCCTATAAAAAAATTTAAACCCTTCCCCTAATAAAATTTAAATCTTGTTTCCCCAACTCAAACCTAAAACCTAGTATTCTTGTGAACAAGGTAGATGAAAGGTGCCTAACACCTTCCTTTCGTCTAAAGAAGTCCGAAACCTAGAATCTCTATCTGCGAATTAGGGTTTTCTGTTAGATTCCATTCCCTAGGATAAAAACTAATAGTGGCGACTCTTGATTAAAAAAACTAGTTACAGCTGGCGACTCTGCTAGGGATACTCCTTAACCTTAGGTTTAGGTATTTTTGGGGTTTCTTATCGTTATTTGCTTTATTTATTTATTTGCATTAGTTCTATTTACTGTGTTATTTATTTATTGTCAATTTTTCTTATGATCATATATACTATGTGGCAGGTTTTTATTTCAAAAAAATATTCTCAAATAACCTTAGCAAGAAGTTTCGGTTATTAGCTTAGGGGGTACATCATCCCTGCGAGTTTATGTGACGACTTCGCCTAGAGTCGGTGAACTTCCGAAAAAGGAATACTTATCGAGAGATATCCTCTTGACGAGTAGGACTTTGGAAGGTCACCCATGACTCTTTGTAACGACCTCAACCCAAAATCTCATGACGAGACCATTCACGACTTTGAGACAGACGTCTCGGTCCTTAAGAGACTCCACCTAAGGGAGGCCTTTTCCCTCCGGTGTTATTCATGATACCCTTAAGGAAGCCACCTTTTGGAAGGGTAGATCAACTGTAGGCTAAGAATAAGGAACTTACCCTATAAGGGTACTTATAACAAAACCCCGTCACTGAACCATACATCCCTACCTTATAGGGGTATTTATTACAAAAATCCCGTCACTCGACCCTACACCTATGCATTCATACATTTCATTTATTCGTCATGCATTTCATATATTCGTCATCCTATGTTTGTCTTATTCATAGGGGGTATAAAATATAAAAATAAAATCAAGATCTCGGTGGCTGTCTTTGAAAATGGATACCGAAGGAAACAACTTTCCCGTGTCAACACGCCAAACATGCCTGAAATCAAGGCCACAAAAGGAAAATAACATGCTGAAGACTTTCTTAAATTTTGTCCAACAAAAATGGATGGTTTCAAAAGCAGATATATGTAGGCGCATCTAAAAGACTTATTTCCTTGTTGCCTGATTTCACGCAAATAAAGTTTTGGCTAAAGATGGTAATATTTTTCAATATGTGAATTACGTTACCTTCAATAAAGGCATTTTGTTTCCACACACCGTTTGCGTATCTATTTTTAAAGATAGTCGCCAAGTAAAATAATAAAGGACAAGCATATACGTAAAGGAATAAGACATTCACATTCACGAACACCTGCATGTCATGTTAAAACTCATTTTTTCCACAAACATTTCTCCAGCTGAACCATTGGTAAAAGAAGGTCGCCACCTCCTTGGCCTCCATATCAAACAAGGTCCTATCAATAAAAAGCAATGGAGAAAATCGAGGAAACTCAGGCTGCGACCAAGTAAAGGGCGACGTAAGTTCAATGTAAGGAGATTTGAGTCATGTTATTTTGGCTTTGAAGAACCTTATTGACAGGCAAGACCAGATCCCCAAAGCAGCTTTCGAAGGAGTAGCCTAGACTATTGGTGCATCAAGCGGTCACCAACCAGGGAAAGAGCCAGAAGCAGGAATCCCAAAGTCCGTCATGGCCTAGCAAGAAGCTGGAACTGAAGGGTTTGTCCTACCGCCACCAAAAACAGGAGAATCTCATACCCTACAAATTTCAACCAATACTACAGACTCCCGTAGGACACAATGAAGCTTTCGAAAGAGCTCTACAAAGACTAAGGGACCAGGGGATAGTCCAGTTTAGACAATACCCTGAAGAAAAATATAAAGCAACTCTGAAGGGCGAAGCACATTTTCCTCTAATCCACGAGACCTTCGTCAATAACGGAGTAGCGCATGGCGGACATATGGCGAAGATATCCAATAAGGCCAACATCAAAGGGACAATTGAAGTCATCCAAGACTGCACCCAAAGAAAAAATCAAAAGATGGACGACCGTGGAGATTCCTGAGATCTTTTTCTTTCCTAATTAATTTTTCTTATTTTCGAAATAACCTATGTCAAGCCCGAGGCATAGGGGTTGCTTGTAAGGTTTCCCCACTTTGTTTCGACAATATTTACGATTAATAAATGTTATATTTTGTTTTCAATTAAGATCCATTTCCTTCTCTTGCATTTATATCTTAATTTTAAAAATGGCAATACATTCTCTGCATATGCATTTTCAAAATATTCAAATACTAAAGCTGCACCAAAACATGATAAAGGTGCAAATTCATGCCCAAAACCACTGATAATGCTATTGTAGCAATCCGATATAATTTTGATGCTCCTATCAACCAGGCTAAAGAGGAAGATGATAAGGATCTTGAACTCTCTAAAAGAATGGCGAGGGAAATAAAAAGAATAGCTAACAGTATGCAACCATATCTAGAGGCTATTAAGACCATTAATCTAAGCACAGGGGAAGACCCGGAAGGAACCAAGTTAAGGGGAAATATAAAGAGCGGAGCCACAAAGAAGCTGACCAAGTTATGGCGCATATCTACTGAAACAGGCCAAGGTCAAACACAGGTGGTGCTGTAAAATAAGCAACTACAAAATACCAAGATCTGACGAAGAACCCGAGCCAGGGGAACGTCGGATACTCGCGTTCAACGGGGCTTCAAATGCACTAGGGCACGATATATGGGCAGTTTTTTCTCACAAGCCATATACCAAGTCAATAGTGAACAGGATACTAAGCATCTAAAACTGATTCCCTATCAAGATCATGTTTTAAAACCGACTACAGAATTCACAAAGATCATTTTCAGTTACGTCCCACGAAAAGGAGATCGAATGACAGACACCCTGACGATTATATCGTCTATATTCAAAGTAACTTGGTCAAACTACGAATCGTGCATCACAAACAGATGCTTCAAAGAGCCCACACATTGCCTTGCTATTAAAAAACGACAATATAACAAGCCTTGGTTTCACGACATCCGAAAAATGCCTCCAGCATCGGCAAAACAAACTCTACAGAAATTAACCTCAGAATTCTTTCAGAGTAACAATATACTGTACAAGATGAACCACACATGGTCTAATACTCAAGAAGATTCTGCTACCTTGCCTAGACTCATGTGGTCAACGGACCCCCAATTACGAAGGTCCGTACGTAGTCAAAACAACATCTTCCGGTGGTAATCTTGTCTCCATAATAATGGATGGGGAAGAACTACCACATCTGGAAAATTCAGACGCAGTCAAAAACACTATGTATAAGAAGCTCGCTAAGCTCGAACCTTAAACAGGCGACTTAGGAAAAAAGGAGCGCCTCGGTGGATCGAAAACCCTAAAGGGCGATCCAGGCAAAAATTAGGGGCATATAACAAAAACATTATCCTGGTGGATTAAAAACCCGGAAGGGAAATCCAGGAAAAAATTAGGGATCATTCAAAAAGAAATAAAGAACAAAAAGACTGCGATCTAAGAACTACGACTACGGACCATGAAGGGGGAGATAGATCTGAATCATTCAACTCAGAAGCGAAGGAGGCGAGATCATTAAAAGGACATTGGAGAACAACAATATCAATTATCATTTTTCATTGCCATTTACAGTTGTAAAACTTTCTGCAATTACCTCTTTCTAGGAATTGTATCTTGTACTCTCGCCTACTCAGAGGCATATTAATAAAACACTGGCTTTCTTCGCATTTTCAAATTGCGTTTTCTTTCTTTTCTCATACTTGTTTACAAAATACTACGATTATTACTTGTGAATATTGTTTTGAAATCATTTC